GAAAGAGAGGGAAAGACAAAAAAAAGGAATTCGGCCACAAGCCTAACAGATAGACAAAAAGTCAAACAAAAGCAGAAACCGATCAGGAACCCGAATAAAAGAAAGGGAACAGATACAGAATGGTATGACGAGCAAGAGAAATCACAAGACAATATCACGAAAAAACAAAAAAAAGCAAAATAGAAAGAAGAGTGAAAAAAAGGACGACAGAGCAGAGAGCAAAGGAATGAAGAAAAAGATGGCCCAAACCAGAAGAAGAATAAAGATGGAGAAGAGAGAGGAAAGGAAGAGTATCAGGAAGAGCAGAGAGAACTAAGCGCTTATGAATTCGGAGGTGAGGACGAAGGCGGAGTGGGGCGTGGGCGGAGGCGGAGGCCACGCTGGAAGCGGAAGCGAGAGCAGGGGCGGGTTATGAATCCGCGCCTTGAATTATTCTGCGCCGCATTCACGCGGACGCGCGCTGCTGGTCCTCGCGTTGCTGAAGCCGGTGCGGCCGCCGCCCTCGCCCTCGGCACAATTGCCGGAGCCTGACTCGGCGCGGGGAGAAACTGCCAGCGGGGTCATCCGACTTGTTTAGACGTTTTCAAGTTATGAAGTATGTTTATCTCAATAAGGACTAGGGTTCGGCACGGCATTTAATATCTGATTCATTATGATGTCTATCTCAAGGACTAGGGGTCTATCTCATGGCATCATTCTCAATGTAAGAAACAAGAAGGGACTGATAATCAATAGATACATCATTATAATCAGGAATTAAATATGAATATCTTAATTTCTCAATATTATTTTATTAGATATATTTTTATTATATATTTTTTATTGCATTATTGAATATTATTGATTATATTAACTTGTTTCAACCAGACAATTACGTATTTCGTCAGCGAATTTGTTTGTTACGAAGTAACGTACGCACACGTTTTGTTTGAATTTGGCATGATTGTTCCTTGAAATCATTAAAATAGAGGCTTGGCTAAGAATTTCATTTCGACACCACAATGGCAAGAGGTCTAACGTTCGCAAAACTAATTGAATCTTCGTGAACCCATTATTTAACTGCAAACAAAATTAGAGGGTATGCTCATGATTTTCCTTTTTAAGTTTTTCCTCGCGCTCTGTGGCGTTTTGGTGGCTTTGATGCGTTGGCGTCACACCTAAGTCCAATGATTGAGGACAATATTGCATTCTTGGCCTTTAAATGGTTGATGTTTCTACGGCCTAACCACACAGAACGATGTAAATATTTCATATTAGTAACTGGAGGATTAAAATTAAAAATGAATACAGTAAACACTGGAAGGGCATAACACCATTCGTGAGGTGGACGAATTCCTAATTTTTGATGCTCAACACTGACAAGATCTTGAATCTGACAAATAAGTAATTTTAATATTCCCTAAAACCAAGAACAAAAACATTAATATTGCATTTCGAATTCAAAATGTGGGTAAATAAAAATACTTTAAAAGGGTAGGATGCTTTTTCAAGTTTCGAATGGCAAAAACAACAACGTAACACAGAATTCCGGTCGTCTTCGAATAATGAAACAAACAATACTAAGATTTCAGATCTCAGGTTTTGATTGGGCGAAATCTCCTTTTCTTTGACACGCAGGGTACGAGCAGTTTGCGCCTTCGCCGCTTTAAGCCTCGCCCAGCCTAAAGCCGCGTGCTCCGACGGCCGCGCGGCGGTCGATACAAAAGCCGATAGCCCGCGCGTTTATGCAACCGACGGCGGGGTGGCGACGGAGCGAAAAACATCGCGCAGCCGGAAGCGGGGCACCGGAAGCGCGCGCGGTGCCCTCGCCGCGCTTCCGTTGCGCGCGGGGCGAAGACAGCACGCGAGGGAAAGCGGAAATGGGGCGTCTGCAACCGGTAATCGAATAAGCCGTTTTGCCTGGGCAAAAGAGCAACGGAACACGAGATTTGGAGATGTGGTGAGTGAAATGGCGAAAGCGAAGAAATTGGTCTTTAAGTTAGTACGCTCGTGGCACTTGCTAGTCAAGTAGTCAACCATCTATGGATTAACATCTTTACAATTTTACAACTTTACAATTTTACATCTATGAATTAACATTGGCTGCTGGGAATGTAAATGAAACGTTTAAATAATTATGTATAAATTGGAAGAAAGGAATTATTGCTTTAATAAAAATAATATTAATTTAGTCTCTCGTATGATTTTTCTCTATCATAAGTTGACAATATGTAATATAGGTTAGGTTGACTTCCGATTCCACACTTTTCTTTCTGATTTTAATATCAGTCTACATTGTTTACATCGAAAGTGAATTATCGTCAAATACTTTGTCGTTACGTGCGATACAAAATTTTAAGTTAGCGCTTGTAATCGTAATGGACGAACAACAATGTTGACAATAGCTTAATTTGTACAGAGTAACCCCTAGGCCAAGAGTCCCAGTTGAGAGGAATTTCGCTTTTTATCATTTCGTTTTTAAGCAATTACTCTTTAGAATTTCTGGTGAGATATACTACATTTAATATGAAATTATTCATTTAAAAATTAATATGTTACTACTTCAATAACTAAAGAAAACTTATCGTCGTGAAAGTTTTTTCCGTTAGAGGTAGCAACTACTTGAAACCTTATTTTTTAAAAAATAGACCCATAAGAACCAACGTCAAGCAAAGTTCGTAAATTTGTTCGAACAAATAACATTACCCGTGAACAAGTGAGGGGATGTACCTTCCAGTATTTTGCATATCAGATATGAAAAAAGGAGCCCGGGGATACCCACCTATCTAACCTTATCTTCGGCAGGTAGTGTGCAAAGTGGATTTTTTTTTCAGAAGTGGCAGTGACGAATTCAGAGAGAACTTTTTTGAGGGGAAATTAAAAATGTTTTGGTCGAATGTGTCATTACAGACTTTTTAAAATGACCCAGGCTACACTCAGTTCATTCTGAGAGACGATTTTATTCGTTTTAATGATTATTCGATTATTAATATTTTTACTTAAAAGTTTTGTGACAAGTTAAAATTAATAGTTACTGAAAAACTTAAGAAGGGACATTTCCCTCATTTATCTCCCCGCGGATCCGCGCCTGGGAGAGGAGATGATGAACATTTAAAAAAGTAATAAACATTTCAACATTTTGCATGAGGAAACTAGCGTATCCATGTTTTTACTGTGATTGTGATGAATAACAAGGAAACATGTGGCCTCTGGCTGTTATGTTGAATGTAGACTCGATGACCGATGCCCAATGCAACTAGGCTAACAAACATTTTCATATAAAGCAAATCAATTTCTTTTGTCCAATTTCCTAAATTTGAATTCTCTGATTTAAACATGTCAATGTGGGGTATCATAAATGAGAGCTAGGAATGGATTACGGTTTCTGTGTCCCTGGCAGAAAAAAAAATACTTTACCGCGTGATTCATCGAATTCTCGAGGAGGGTGACGATACTCGGCTTTCACCCGTCAATAGCACACTGTCGGTAAGAAAATTATGAAAGAGGCATGTCAGAGAGGTAGAGCTGCGAACTGCCGCGAGGGGTAGCGTTGGTTTCGTAAGTGGATTTGCGACGAGGTGCGGTGCGGCGCGACGCGACGACGTTCTGGGCTGGATTAAGATTCCCCTCCGCCGCACGTGTGGGCTTTGCGTAACCCTTTCTAGGGGCGTCCAATAATAAAGCGCGTTGCATTCTTTCCTGCTCGCCACAAAACGCGAAAAGGGATGGGAAATTAACTTCTCTATAAACAGGGGGCCTCAGAACATTTTTCAAACGTCTACATCATGAAGAGGAATTGATTAATTGGATACTTGGCTACCCGGGATGAGCAGCGTCGCAGTCAATCGTGTTGTGGCCTTCTTTAGAGCTATACTGCTCTGCAGACCCCTTGTTCTGCAGTAACGCAGTTCTGGGGATGATGTTGGTCATTTACTTCCTGTTTCTAAACTATTTTAAAATCTATTTAGTGTCAATATTTTAACGATGAACCGATGAGATAACATCGATGTTCAATATTCGAAGCAACACCTCTCAAGGATAGCATGGTAAAGCACGTGAATTTTCCCCTTTTTATTTTATTTATACCCATTAACGCTCACATGTCAGTGAACTCTCCGTGAAAGCTGCACCAACGAGTCGCGCTAAAACCGAAAGCTCATTTTTAGCAAGTATTGTAGCTTCCAGGACAATGGCCACACATCTCGATCATGTTTTTCGTCCAGTTTCATATCCATTGTCATATTTTGGAATGACGATACAATGAGATTTCGCATGTGGATTGTAAAAGTAGCTTCATTATGCGGACGTTTTGTTGAGCGGAAGGAGTCGGACCGGAGAGTATTATAGGATTGTGTCAGATTGGGCAATCTCAGGTGATAAGAGCAGACCAGTATGTTCTTAATAATAATAGCAATAAATATTTTTTATAATATTGGCAGGAGTATCCCTAGAAAGGTTTTTTTTATTTCTTGGCAGCCTGTAGGTGTTTATCATCACTACCTAATGTTCATTTCCAAGTTTGGAAGCTGATGTAGGCTCGGAGATTATTAGCGTCATTTGTTGACCGCAAGTGCACTGCAATTCTGTCGACCGGCTGGTTGCGTAAGATTCTGGCCTGAAACCGGGCGTGATCACAATTACGTGCGCGATACAGAACTGTCTTAATTTACACCGTTATTCCGTCAATTCACACATTTTCTTCTTTTGTTTTCTTTGTGTAAAATAAAAGTAACGTTTAAGGTATGAAATGTTTAGAACTATGCTTAGAACTTGATCTCACACTAAGTACAACCTTTTGAACATTATAAAAGAGAAATCGTCAAGAAGTTACTCTGCAGAAACTGAGCCTTTCTTAACATAAGATGTCATAAGAAACATTTGATCATCTTAACTAAGGGAATACGGCGAAGTATTTTTTTACCACCTGAAATGACTCAATCTGTAAAGCATGCTCGAAAATTGTTTGACGCCACCTTTGCGTTATTTCGAAAAATATACAAAAAACATGTTTCTATACTCACTTTCCTAGCTCAAACTTCGTAAGGTCAAGGTATGCTGATCCCATGAAGTCATCTTGCAAACCCCAGTCGTAATCGAAAACCTGCAAAAAAGAATAAGCAATGAACTTTTTCTATTGTTATTTGTGCCATTTCACAATAAACAAATGTCATAGAACTTCGAAGATAGGTGGTACTTGGAATTGGGTAAATGAAAATATTAAGTTGGGATTCAAGTACCTATTTAGTTTTTTACAATACGTAACTTTTCCCTTACCATAACAATATCATCATTACACACAAAAATACGTTAATTTAATACGAATAAGAGTAAACAATCTTTCTAGTAGAACGAGAACATGATTTTGAATAAAATGAAAAGCAAACTGTTACTTTAGCAATGAGTTGTATAGACGCCTATAGACCTGTCTTTATGGATATTGAACATAAGATAACTTGAAACTGATATTCAGGTACCATTTATTCAGATAAATTATTTTATTTTCTAAACCACACTGAAAAACAAAAAAAATAAAACTAAAAGAATATACTTAAATACTCTAAGAGAATAAATAAATTATTTTGGGCATAAATAAATTATTACTGGGTTATAGACGAGTGTAGCTAGTTGCAAATGGATATGATTGCATGTGTTGCCTCAACATACGAATTAGGAGGTAATGTCAGTCTGGAGAATAACAATGAAGTGTGTATAAAGAAGCAATAAATGAAATAACTTTATATATATATA